TAAATCAAAAAATTAGCCAGGCATGGTAGCACATGCCTGTAGTTCCAGCTACTTGGAGGGCTGAGGCAGAAGGATCGCTGGAGCCCAGCAGGTCAAGGCTATGGGTGGCCGGGAGCGGCCACTGCACTCCAGTCTGGGTGACAGAGTGAGACTCCAACACAAAAAATAAATAAATAAAATAAGTGTAACACAGTTCTTATGAGATAAGGCAATATGTAGAAAATGGAATTTTGGTTATTAATGCCAAGATAGGTTTGTTTGTTTTCTGCCATTATGTTGGAGTTGATACTTTTCCTTGTAAGGCTCTTAGTCTTCCTATAGTGAAAGAGAGAAAGTGAGGTGTCATTGCCAAAGAGACAAACTAATAGCCTCTTGATAAAGTTTATTGTTTGTAAAATCCTTTTTTAATTAAGCTAATAATATGGTCAGATTGCTACATTGAAGTATAATTATCTTTAAATGGAAGTCTTGCTGTAGAGTGCCAAGGGATGATAGTTTATTTGGGATTTAAATAACTCAAGTGCCTCATTGAACATCATGTTTATAAGGAATAACAGTTTCTTTCTGGGAGGGTTGTGAATTGGGTTTTGTTTTGTTTCAAAGTCAGGCTTTTGCACCCATATTTAAGTTAATGGAGCTTACAAGACCTATATTATCCTTCCCCACCTGCCTTCTCTATCATGCCATAACCTCTCTGAGCAATTCCCAGCCTAGAAATAACCTTAGAGGGAGATATTTATACGAGGGGTCCCCCAAAAAAGGGAATTATCTTTTGGAGAGCAGGTCCCTATTGTAGTAAACTCCAAATTTGTTCCTCCACATCAAACAGTTAACTAAAGTTTTATCTGGGAGTTTTGAGAAGATTAGTTCATGATTTGTGGAAAAAACATCCTGAGTTGTGGCAAACAGGTGACTGGTTTTTCCACCATGACAGTATACCTGCGCACACTGCAGTTTTTTACCAAATATGGCATGACCTTTATGCCCCATCCTCCCTAGTCACCTGATCTCACCCCAAGTGGCCTGGATGAAAAAAACCCTCAACGGGAAACATGTTGTGGATGTAAGAGGTGAAACCAAAAAATGGCAGAAGTACTGAAAGTGAGCAATGGCTCACACCTGTAATCCCAGCACTTTGGGAGGCCAAGGAGGGCGTATTGCTTGAACCTAGGCATTCAAAAACAGTCTGGGCAAGACAGCAAGACCTTGTCTCTAAAAAAACAAAAAAAACTTGAGCAGTGGAAAAAGTATCTTGATGTATTGCATTAAACAGAGAGTACTTTGAAAGCAACTGAAGATTCATTACAGTTTAAGAATAAATACACAATTTTTTATAAATAAATAAATTTCAGCTTTTGGGAGAACCCCCTCATATATATGCATGTACATAGCAGAATGCTACGTTGGGAGATATATATGCCTATGTATGTATCTATGTAGCATAGCAGAATGTTCCATATGGAATCACCACACAATATTCTGCTAGGCTAAGTGGACAGTATCTTAGGAACCCACATAGCATCTTTCTTTAATAGAAGTGCCTGAAATTATTACTTTAAAAAGTATCAGGAGGCAGGAGTTACTTGACTAATCAAAACCTCAAATTAAAATAGTTTTATCTAGATCTAAGTTCTAGTCAATAATCTAAAAGCAGTCTGTGGTGTTTTCAGTAGGTGTTTACTTTGTACTAGCAACTTTCCAAATAGTAATGTAAATAATAAAATATTTGATTAACTGATTAAATAGAATGGAGGTCTTTAGCACCATAAGGTTAAGCTGTACTTATTGTAATATATTTACCAAAAACGTATTGAAGAGTTTTGGGGAACATGCTTTATATTTGCCTTGTTCTGCTACACAAGATAAACTGGAAACTAACAGCAAAAGCTATTCAGACACCCTGAAATCTGCTAAAACAGGAAAAGTAATACAAGTGGATGGAAACAAACATAAGAATCTTCAAACTGCAAGAGTTAAAATGTGTCCTCCATCCAAGAAGAGAACCCAGTTCATATAAGGAAAAGTCTGAAGCAAAAGGTCAAGACGTTATAACACTGTTACCATAACTGGGCAAATTGGAGTTGTCTGTGGTGAAAACAACTCCAGGCCTGACACCCAGGTTTGGCACAGGGGTTTTCAAGGGCCCTAGCCTGCACCTGCGAAATGCATTGTTACGCAATATCATCATTGTACAAACATGTTAGAATATACATATATAAACCTAGATGGTGTAGCCTACTACACACCTAGACTCTTTTGCTCCTAGGCTACAAACTGTATGGCACATTACTGTACTGAATACCATAACCAATTATAACAAAATAGTATTTATTTATCTAAACTTAGAAAAGATACAGTAAAAATATAGTATAAAAGATAAAAGGTACACCTGTATAGGGCACTTACTGTGAATGAAGCTTGTAGGACTGGAAGTTGCTTTAGGTGAGTGAGTGAATGGTGAGTGAATCTGAAGGCCTCAGACATTACTGTCCACTACTTCAGACTTTATAAACATTGTATACTTAATTGTGCTATGATGTTTTGATGTCACTGGGCAGTAGGAATTTTTCAGGTCCATTAAAATCTGACAGGACCACTTTTCTATATGTGGCCCATCAGTGACAATCCATTGTCACGCAACACGTGACTGTACTTTGAATTTTGATCTTTCCTGGGCTATAGCAAAAGCCAATACATGAGATATCCAACACTTTATTACAAAATAGGCTTGTGTTAGATGACTTTGCCCAACTATAGGCTAATGTAAGTGTTTCAAGCACATTTAAGGTAGGCTAAGCTAAGCTACAATGTTTGATGGGTTAGGTATATTAAACACATTTTCACCTTAAATATAGTATTTTCAGCTCACAGTGAGTTCATTGAGACATAACCCCATTGTAAGTTGAGTAGTATCTATATATCTCAGTCAATAGCATCCCATTCACTGACAGCAAAGAGATCTTCCTCACTGTGCCAGTGGGTGGCAGAAAGAACATGCTATTACTGGCCAGTGACCTTTAGAGGATCCATATTGCACAACTATATCCTTTGCAAGTTTTTGGCCAGTAATAAAACATTAAGAAGCACTCTAAGCCAGGCACGGTGGCTCACGCCTCTAATCCCAGCATTTTTGGAGTTCAAGGCAGAAGGATTGCTTGAGCCCAGGAGTTCAAGAACAAGCTGGCCAACATAGCGAGTCCTTGTCTCTACAGAAAATTACACACACACACACAAAATTGAAGGATGGGCCTTCAATGGCCACTTCGAGAATCCTAAAGAGACTTCTGCCTTTCAGGCTTATTGTTTGTGATGTTCCAGAGCAGGGAACAGTGTTCTTGGGGAATTCAGAAAGGGGAGGATACACTGTTCCTACAGCAGTTAAATCAAGCTGTGCTGTTCCCATCTCTCCCTCAAAAACAAAAATTGCCTGGCTCTATAAAACTGACTCTTGCCTTTTATTGGATAGGAACAAGCTGAAAGCTGCATACTTAATGTCAGTGGAGTCTTCTGATGGTTTCCTGGAAGAAGTCGGATCCCAGGCTCTAGTTGCTGGTTCTTATATGCCTCCAACCACAGTCCTTCAGCAGATTGATTCGGTGGCTAACACTGATGTCATAAATGTAAGCAAATGAAGAGTTAACATTTAACAGCAGAGAATTTAACCTATTGATCCAATTGCAGGAGGATGCTGAGTGTCCTTGGGCTATATATGTTATTCTTGTGTTTGGTGCCTATCTACTTAGTGTGTAGGCAAGAGGGCTCATCACTATTAGATCTGCAGATTGCTTCCTTGTCAAATCAGGGGCTGTGTATCTTCCTTATTCAAATAAATTACCATTAGGTTATACCGTTCTAAATTCTTAGACGTGAAGAAGAATCGCATATTGGCAATTTTCATATAATTTAACCTAAATAGTAAAGTTTGCTATTTTTCCTCTCCACCCCCAAGAAATAAACTCTATCCTGCCAGTCCTTCACTTCAATATCTCATTATTTTCTTTACTCTTAGCCCAAGACATTCTCTAGCTCTTCCTATTTCTTTTCTCATGTGTTACTATTCCCACCATGTGTTTTAAGGCTAAGGACTATGTATGTGACTATTCCCTACTTGGCCTTAGAAGCACTTGAACTACAGAATAAATCCAAAGTCTGGGTTTTCCCAATCCTTTCTACATTAAAAATGCCAACTTTCAGCCACGCTCGGTGGCTCAGCCTGTAATCCCGTGCCTTTGGGAGGCTGAGGTGAGTGGATTGCCTGAGCCCGCGGGTTCGAGACCCGCCTGGGCAACTTGGCAAGACCTCATCTCTACAATAAATCAAAAATTAGCCGGGTGTGGTAATGCGTGCCTGTAGTTCCAGCTACTTGGAAGGCTGAGGCAGAAGGATTGCCGGACCCCAGCAGGTCAAGGCTGCGGTGACTGGGAGC